TGGAGCTCTGTGGAACTCCAGATGTTGCTGTGAGGGGTGAAGATGAAAATCCGTTGTAAAAGACATAATAAAAACGATGATTTAGGTAAGATGAAAATAATCTCAACAGCGACTGATCAAACCCTAAGCATTCCAACTTCCTTACAAGAATATTATGATTTTTAATTATTACAAAATACATTATGTATGTACAAAAAATATTCTAAACATATTTTAACTAACAAGAGTTTTATTTTTAACTAGTTATATTCAAAAACAAATGTCATTTTTAAAACTATGTTTAACAATAACCGATGAGTATACAACAAGGTTCACAGTTTAAACTAAGTCTACATTTTAACTGCCTATTGTACAATCCGCCATATATGTACAATTCAAAATTAATTGTATTTCTTTAAAATGCACTTGATTCTGTTGATCAAAATCATTCGATAAAAAAATTAAATAGTATTGGTATAAAGGTGGTTTTTATATCTATGCTATAAAGCATGCATTGGGGTAGCATGTAGATTATCTAAGTATCAGGTCAGAGAGATTAAAATTAAATAACATATGTAGTGGGATTCTCATCTTTTGAGTACGTCTCCTATCAAGACTCCTATCTTTGTTCGACAGACAGAGATTTTGATGTAATGTCTCTCTCTATTCTGTATGTAATGTGTCGAGTTGGCACAAAAGAATCACTGTTCTGATCAGAAGAAATTAACCACATCAAAGGAAGAAAATTAGGTCCCCTGTTATTTTTAATTTATATTAATGATTGTTAATGTTGCAATAATTAATATGACATTTACCTGTTTGCCTATGATGTCCTTATCTATGTTTCTTGTAAGTTGTAAGGATTCAGATAACTAAGAGTTAATTGTCAATGAAACTCTGCAAAATGTTTATAAATGATGTTGCAATCATTTGTTAAAAATCAACACAAATACCTAAAACAAAATATAAGCTGATAAGTAATAACTATATGCAGTTTGTGGACAAACAATATAGGAAATTGGAAGAAAATCTATACAGTTAGTAGAAAAATTCAAATATTTAAGGGTAATTATTCGGAAACAGATGAAATTCACAGACCATATGCAAATACTGTTATCAAAACAATTGCAGTTAAATTACATTTCCTATTTAGAATGTTATTAAAATAATTGTTATATTATTACATTATTTTTTACTAAATTTGAATATTGTGATATTAGCAAACTAGCCAAATAAATAAAATAAAAATAAAATAAAAACCGAAAACATACCTGGATCTACAATAATATATATAAATAATATAAGTACATTGCATCTTTTAAATTATTAAAGTCCATTAAATTGAAATGACACATCAAACCATAAACGTCAAACTTTCAAAACAAACATGCTTGTGTTGTGTTCCAAACAGAAAATAGCATAATTTATTTACTTGCAACCTTTCCCCGCACACCACCTCGCCCCTCACATAAACATGGTCAAATTGGGCTAAGCCATTTTACATTCGTCTGCATAGGGAGCGATGTTGCAATTTTTCAATTTTTAGTGTCTATTCCGTCTGTTCAGATGGCAGCATCTTATGGGCCCTACATTTTTAAATCTTATCACAAGAATCCTGAAATAATTAGGCAAAAATAAAAGAATGTATGTTGCGTTTTAACTTCTAAATACTATAAAAAATGATGGAAAGTCCATAACTTTTAAATATTTGTTAAATATCACTTATTAAAATATTATGCATTAAAAGTAAAACAAACCATAGACTTTCCATCATTTTTTACAGTTTTTTGAACCCATTTATGAAAACAGTTTTTTAAAATATTATCGTTCAGAGCTGTATTTCTTGTGATAAAAAAGTCGCCGTCACTTGTTATTGAACTTGGCCTTAAGCAACAACAAAGCATAACTCAAATAAGAAGACGCGTGCTAACTGTAACTAAAAATCATGATTCCTATACTTTCCTTATATCTGTATACAGATAGGAAAGTAAAAATGCGACTCTTTTGTCGGAGGACTTGGGGTATTTCTATCACTTTATCAGCTAGCTTTCAATGAGGAAACCATTCTCCCGACAATTCAGTTATAACCTGCTGACTACATATATACAGGGTGTTGCGGATTGGCTCATATTAATTGTTTATTGAATATTTTACTACTCTTCGATTTTTGTAATCGATTCATTCCTACCTTATGTTTCGGACGAAAATTGTTAGTTTTCGTTTCATTATTATCCGAGAGCGGTAGCTGATTTCGGAACGTTTTTTCCATCACTAAATTAACGCATTTTTGTTATAAAAGTGCCAATACTGCTGGGCGGCCAGATTTTCACTCCCCGCTGCACACCTAAAGGTAAATCCAAACATAAGGAAATATTTATTTATTGTCATCCCATTACGTCATTTCAGTCCATTTATCTCGCACCAAAAATATTTACTGAGCCAAGAACCAACACAGGATGTGCTATTTAAATTATTTTAAAATATGGATTTAATTATTTATTTTCTGATATTATAATTTCCGACCTACATATATACAGGGTGTGTTATTTAAATTATTTTCAATCGTGGACTTAATTATTTTCTGGCATTAATTTATTTTCGTTTGATGATTCACTTATACTGTTAATCGAGTCAGATATTCCGAAGCATTAAGAGCATGTGTCTTACCGTTTCATATTTATTATAATAATTTTAATAATCCGGGATTTTTTTATTTTAATTATTTTAAATTAATTCTGATGGCGTGGTAGGATTCACAGCTTATTCACTACCAGCTGGTCATCTCACCAGCGGCACCTTTGTACTTTAAAAGTTAGCAGTCCGTAGGTCGGTATTCGCATGCTGTAGAGAATGGGATAGCGGGCGACCATACTAGCAACGATTCGCGTATCAGGTCCGTATTAAGTTATTTTAACGGGAACCAGAGTACAAAAACGATAAAAATCATAAATATATTACAAAATATTTATTAAAAACGACATGCACATTAGCTTACATAACTACTAAGAAAATAATTACTGATTTTTTCAAATTATTAATTTTCTAACTTATCCATATCCATAACAGTCAATTTCTCAAAATTATTTTGGAACAGTATTTCTTATAAAATTTGTATGTGGTGGCCGTACTGATACAAATCTGAGTGCCTGTACGCTTTATAAAAAGAAAATAATGACGTTTCACTCACTTGCAAACATATTTAACAATTTTTTTTTCTCTAAAATATTGGATTTTCTATAATCAAAATCTACAATTACATTTTCAGTAGGTAATGCAGGTTCACACTGGTCTTTCACATTCTGTGGTATATCTATCATCTGCAGTAAAACACGACTAGCATCGTCCTCGCAGTTTTCTGTACCTGAATGTAACATATCTAAATAAAGTAATTTTCTGAACGCTGGTATAAACTATATTGGGGTTGGATTTGCATTATTTCCTCACTGTTGAACAGAACCAAAAAAAATCAAGATAATCGTGATGTGTTCGTCGAGAAATTTTATGTCACAATGCTGCATATTTTTCCATAAATACAAAATACCGTTAATAGTTATTTTCCAGTCCAATATGCACTTAAGTGTTTTTGTAACATTTACACCATCTGCGTTAAATACTTCCATATTATTGAAAAAAGTTAAGCACTCCTTCAAAAAGCAAGTTTGTTCTTTGTTGCCCACATACACTTCTTGATATTGTGTAGCTGCTGGGCCTCCAGATGTATTTAAAATATCGAACAAATTGTTCATTCTTACTGTAGTAGTAGCTGCTGATGAAAGTGTGTTGAATCTAATGTATAAATACATACTGTGAGTTACAGAAGCACTAAAAATTTGAGCTGTTAATTTGACCTTCATTTTCTCAAAACTGTTGAGGAAAATGTATGAGTCAGTCAATTTTGGAACCCCTTGAATATTGTATGACTTATCGTATGAATAAAATTGTTTCATATATCCCATGAGGCTACTGAATCATTAATCTTAAAATTATGTTTTATCAGGGTATTTCTAGGAGCTTTCAACAAATGAGGGATATCAAAGAAAATACAATTTTATCATTCCCAAACATGAAATATGGATGTTATGGTGAAACATCTAGTAATTTTGCTAACTGCAAATTATTTGAGCCTACTACTTGGAGCCCTATATTAGTAACTTCTTGTATGACGTTTAAAATTAGTTGCTTTAATTGCAATCCAGGACACGTAGAATTAACTAGATAATAGGCAAGTGGTTGTTTCCAATTTGTACATACTAGCCATGACTACTGTGGCAGCTAGTGCTGGTTTAAAAGATCTGTATTCATCTTCCATGTCTTCAAGACCATATACCCTATCTGAATTTATATTGTATAACAAATTAGCTTTACAGTTCATTTCATCCACAAAAATAAAACAAAGTTTATCTAATACCTCAAAACGTTCGGCTTTATCCTTTAAAATTTTAAATAGTAAACTATTTATACCAACAGAAAAATTAATGTTACTGATAAACTTTTGTAAGGTACCGATTCCAGGCAGACAAAAGTTATTTGCCAGTTGCTGTGTTTTATATAATTTCGGACCTAGAAAATATAGCGACAAACAATATTAAATTCACTAGTGAATAGTCTGCCTTTAGGTTTCTTAATCATTTCTCCTATTTGTATATTTATAAAATCCGCTATATCTTTGGATGGACAAAATTTGTTAGTTAGTTGCTTATAATCGGACAAAGTAACTTTATCGAGATAGGAGTTAGATTTCCTATCTTGTAGAATCTTTAGTCTCTTCGTCAGGCGACAATTTTCATCCCGAAGCCTCTTTAACGTTATTTCCAATTCGCGTTTGCGGGGTGAGTTAGCTGACAAAAAAGGGCTGGTCTGCGTCATCCTTGTTTTTGGAGAAGTTAGTGATGATGTCTGTTTGTTTGTCATCTACATGTTTGCTGTATTGAGGTTCCAGTGCTTGCGATTCTTGAGAAACATCAGCTGAAAATTAAAACGAACGTGTAAAAATATAGTTTTGTGCAAAATTGTGTTCTCACTCAAAAAATTTCTAAATATTGGTTAAAGTCGGTATTATTACCTAGGAGTTCACTGGTTTCACAGCGAAGTTGGGATGTAAGTGCAATACTTGAACTACCACCTTCTAAAGCAGGAAATATTCGAGGCACTGCATGTTTCAGCAACCTATTATGCTGCTCATTTGCAAGCATAGTTTGTTCAAAATGAATGGCACATAACTTGTGTGACAGAGTATGCAATTTAGCGACATCTTGCATAAGCTCATTTCTACCGCATGCTATCAACCAAATTCTCGCTCTGCAAAAAAAATATAAATTTTAAGTACCTTCAGCGGTACCTGTACCTATACAATAATTTATTTACAATTTCGGTGTCTAATATATATTGTTCGAAATTTAAAATAATATTACACACATTTACGTTCAATAACATTTAATTTAATTTGAATGCAATAAATAATATTCAACAAACTGAAAGCGGCATATTCACCTGAGCACGGAGAATATCAGTATCTGACGACGTATCTTTTTATTTTCATGCGGCTCATTGAAACAAGAAAACCTTTTTCCTGATTCCGCAGATCTTGGGAAGACGAATTGCCAATATCCCATTATCACATACGTCGTTAATTGATATTCTTTTTGACCGGTAGCGGCTTTCAAAATAAGCATCGAAATTTAAACAAGCAATATTAAACAATTTTTAATTGCTCGCCGGCTGATTTCTAACAATATAGTAAACTAAAATTGAAATATTTCAGGAATTTTGCGACAAACCTTTATATTAAGTAACATAATTTGTTCTAGTTAAACTTTCCACTCTGTATAGGCAGTTATGTATAGAATTAGAAAATTTACAGTAAGTAGAACAAATCTTACGACGGAGTGCTAAGTGTAAAATGGTAGGTACACACATGCATACGTTAATGGTTAAATAAATAAATAAATAAATAAATAAAAGCAGTTTGCTGATACCTACTTACCTGTTTATATCCGTCGGAAATCTAAAAAAACTTAAACTACAATAATTGTTCGTATTGCTCCTGCACTTTAGCGCCGCACAACGATTGAAAATACGCATTATCGCAATGTAATCTCGAAAATAAACTATTTAAATTAAAATAAACGATAAAATACACTAAGTTCGCTCTTGTACTCCTGTTCTCTTCACTATCACTTTCTGACGGCAAGTGAAGCCAAGACAGCTGGCAATGACTTCGCCCATATGCGCAGCCGTCCCAACTCCAACGTTCCATTTTATGGCGAGATGACCAGCTGGTAGTGAATAAGCTGTGGTAGGATTCCCCACTCGACCATTCACTGTTGGGTTCTAATTAACAGTGCTGTTCCTAAAGTGGCGCTGGGAAACAATAACAAAGCCTGCCCAGAACACGAGGCTAATGGCCTTAGTAGTCGATGCCAATGACATCAAATTAAAAAAACAACATCCGCCTTACACTGTATAGTAATATTTTTAGTTTTACTATTTTCTTGTAGGCAATTTAATAAATATTTCTATGCCTCAATTATACTGTTAATTGAGTTACAATTTCGCCTTCTCGAAACATATTTAACTGGTGGATTTAATTATTTTATTCTTTTTATTTGTGTAAAATATTCTGAAGATTCATTTATACTGCTAATTGAGTTAGACTTTCCGATTTACTAAGAGAATTTGTCCTACAACATATTTATTATCTGGGTTTTGCTATTATTTTTATGGGTGGTTTGTCGTAAATGAAAACCGTTATTGTTTGGATTTATTATTGCCCCACCGTATACACCGTAAAGTGAAATATATTATTGTATATAATTTTACTATCTTTTATCTAGCTCGTCCAGAATCACCTTTATGGTAAAGGTACAAGGTTTCCGCTTAGGGGGTGGATATTATTATTTTATTTAGTTACTACCCATACGTATACGACTGCCTGGAGGTACTGACTCCACTGAGGTATCTTTGAATGCACTCTAGGTTCACTTGAGGGTCGCAGAGAAAACTGCGTAATCAAAAGTGGCGCCCGGGTAATCCTTGCTCGAAATATCCGCCTTGCGCCCCCACGATTTATCATAAAATATACATACATTAATATTTTAAATAGGCAATAACAAACTTTGTCAAACTGACAGATTTTGGAATTACTAGAAATTAAAAACATTTAATGGATTCTCAGTATGAAATAGTCAATGAGCAGATAAATCTGGGAAAGTACTTCTGAATTGTCTTCTTAATTTTATGCTCATTGTGAGTTTTTTTTTCTATGAAATCCATTGAGTTCTAGTTAGGTACATAATAAAGTGTAAATGTCATATCTACTTATTGTTACACATTCATATAAGAAATAGTCCTTTCATGTTTAAGGTTCTTGTGGAAGAACAACTTTGCTGAACTTGTGCCTTTTAACTATGTAAATATGTTCTTGTGTATATATTTATTTTGTTTTGTGAACTTTTTACTAGTTACTAAAGACATTTATTATTATTATCATAATTTATTATTATGTTATTGTTTGTCCAAATATTTAACATAAATCGAGTAGTTATCATGAGATACTTTCATTTTCACGAAACAATTGTTGATATTTTTATAGTTTACAGCTTATCTGTTCGTCTCTTGATTTTTCGAGGGATAATATGATTTGAATACAGTGATAAAATATTCTTAATTTTCGAATCATCAGCCTGTTTTTATTTTGTCATTATGCAAAGTATGCAAGTCGTTTTGTCAAGTATTTAACGATTACAACGCCATAAATTCTTGAACTTGAAAATATAGATAATCTTTGTAACTCCGTAATGGAATAATGTATGACCCTGTATATGGAATTTTTTGAATGAACAACTCGCAACTTAAAAGGCAATTAGTTTCTATTCTTTGGCAACAATTTCAACATTTTTGGTTGATTTTTTTTCTCCTTACATATTCAACTGTGATCACCCTGCGAGTACGAATTTTTTTGTCTGTCTCCAAATACTACAAGGCAGTACATTCCCAATCCAACACAGTGTGTCAAAAGATTTAATATACAGTATTTTTCGTGAACATATCTACTTATGTCAGTATATATTTATTATTTAAAATTCATATAAGACACAGAATAAGCGAATAACTTCCAAAAATATTTCAAGGGTGATTTTTGGTGTCCATTTTAAAGAATTAGGGATTTCTAACTTCAACACCCTATATCTCAAAATCTAGTTGTAGGATAGGATTGGGTCCATGGACACTTTTGATGGGGACATCAAGTAATTTAACATACCAAAAATTCAGAAATTTTGACGGTACTCCCGTTTGCATAAGAAAAGTGCGTGGTGCTTTACTAATTGTAAAGGCTTTGAGGGCTACTCTTGGAGGTTCCAGGTTTGTTATCTGGTCGGGCATTCTTTATTTCTCAGCTTTTTCAATTTTTCTTTGGCTGGTTTTCACTTTGGGGGTGATAAATTCCCTAATTTCGTAGGGGGAATTGGAGTTTATATTTTTACATTTCCAAAAATTTCATTGGTTAATGAACATTTTCAGCATCTATCGCAATAATTAAGTTTGTATTTCTTAATGTTAGAGCTCTGCAATATTTTTAATGATTTAAGTTCATGATTCATTTGATTATGTTTTGTTATGTTGTGCATTTAATTACTAATAAAATTAGATTTAAAATGAAATGTCACAATGTACTATATGGCGCTAAAATACATATATTATTGTTTTTAATAAAAACTTTGTTTTAATTAAGTGAAATTCAAATTTCAGGTGATATAATCCTAAGCCACCACACAGACAATCAAAAAGTGGTACCCTCTTTTAGACAACTTATAAATTGGCCTCATGTAGGCGTTTTCTTTATGAGTGCTGACTTGTCTTTTAAAAGATTTAATCGGCCTGAAGTTTGCAGATTTTTAAATCTCGGCTTTAATAGGATTAAATTAGATAAATCAAATTTCATTGAGGACATTAAGATTGTTAATCCTACTCTTCCTCAAAAGAGTTACAGCCTCACTTTACTCTGGGCCTATACTTATCAGTTAATGGAATTACTAAGACAGTTTGAAAAAGACGTAAGTATGTTTTAAATTATTCAATAATCAACATTAAAGGTTTTATTCTGCAGAGTGTGACCACATAAAATTCCCGGAACAAATATTTCTAAAACCATATAACATGTTATTCTGGTAAATTATTCGATGATAATTATGTAGCGTTTCGTCGCGATATAAATTTAGCAGAATCTTCTTATTTAAGAGTATTGAACGTGATCTCGCCAAAAAGTGTATGCAAAATTGATATTGTAGGTTGTATAGTGGGACACACCACTTAGGTTTAGTGTCCGACCGAAGGTTCGGTTTCGGCCAGTTTCGGCCTATAATAAGAGTTTCTGCCGTAGTTTTGGTTTCGGCGGAAAACTGGGTGAAATTGCAGCCGAAACCGAAACTACTTTTGTGTCACGTTTGACTGCGTTCGGCACAACGTTTCATGTTTTGTTTTTATAACTTTGTTGGCAACTCTATAAATACGTAATTATAATATCTAATATAATACTGTTTTTTGTTACAAAAACTCCACTACCCACATAGCAACAAATACTACTTTGTAATTCTCTTACTATTTTTAAAGTCAAAAAGTAGTAAAATATAAATTAAGAGCAAACCCGACCTCTCGCGAAAGCAAAATGTTTTAGTAATTTTCTAATATAAAATTATATTTATATGCGCTTTAAATTTGTGCAACGCCAAGGCAGCACTCAACAGAGACGTTTAAGAAAAAAGGTGGGCAAATTTTCGTAGAATAATACAGAAATACATGTTTTTTATTTAGTTCCATTTAAAATTTTTCCAAATAAAGGCTTTTTGAAGGTATTTTTGTTGGTATTTCCTGAAAATTTTCACAAAAATCGGACTGAAAACAAAGGTTCTGAAGAAATTATACATTTTCAAGGACTTTTTAAATCATGTAAATAAATACTTACGTAATAAGTGCAGTTAAAATTTACAATAAAAGTAGCCGGAAACTAAAGGAAAGTTTCTGTTTCGGTCAAAACTAAAACATTAGAGAGTTAATGCAAATTTCTGTAACTTCAGCCATTAATAGTGACAACGTAATTAAAGGCAAATAAATCCCATGCTAAAATAAGACTTATTTCAAACCTGAAATTTTCACATTATTCTTTGTTCTTATACATATTTCTAACCTCATTTTAAATTACAGTTCATTTTTTTTGTTATCTATAAGAGTACATTATATGAAAGGGGCATTGGCGAGCGCACCCGAAAGCTATACAGTCGCCACTATCTGCTACCCTTAGACACCCACATTTAAGGACAGTCACAATCTTTAATAAAGTCAGTTCTAGAATTTAAACGATCTGCGCATGCTCAGATGTCAAAAGAAGATCGGCACTAATAGTGGTTAACTTTAAGTGAACTTGCAATATCTCTCTAATATCTCTAGTAACCGAAATTCGGTTTCTGTTTCGGTTGTAAAACCTTGTTTTGGTCGGACACTACTTATGTTGAGTTCGGGAGGTGAACTCTTTTTTCTCTTTTCACTCCATAACTAACTTCAGTCTATGCTAAATCCAGAGCTAGTAAATTGTACTTGAGTACTTAAAGTACTCAGTAATTGGTATTCGTAAGTACTTTCATCCTGATGGGACTCATACTCAAAAAATTTCGAGTGCTTTATATTTTAGAGTATTCAGTACTTTTTTATTCCTTCAGCTGACGAATAACGAGTACAAGTACCGACGCGCTCATATATATTATAATGATTGCACCTTGGAAAGGTTAAACCATTCCAATATCCTAGAGCTTTTAGGGTTATGATTCCTTTGGCTTCCCACAAACATTTCAAAAATATAACTAACAATATTACTAATCGATAAATATTGAATTTGAAAAAACTAAATCTTCCGCTTCGCTTCTTGCTCCATGCTCTTCTGATTTCTGCTCTAACTCATGTTCTCCTACCTGATCTCTTGCTGTTTTCTTTTACTTTTTTCTGTTACTCCTACTTCTGACGAATTCTCCTTCCTGCTAAGTTATCCTTCCTATTCCATTTCCACTTATCTTTAATTTAATTAAAATGTTTTTCATCTTTCTTTTCTATTCTCTTTTTTTAATTTAATTTCTACGATATAAACTCTTAAACTTTAATATCTATCTATCTATCTATCTATCTATCTTAACTTCATTATAATATTTTTTGGCCTATTAAATATTTTTAAATTTCCCAACTGACAAGTCTTAGACCCTCTCTCTGTCAATCTTCCCAAAATATATTATTTGACAATCCATGAATTTTCAAAATCCCACCACCATCGCCGTCACAACCCTAAGACAATTCCAAATAACTTATCGGCACCAACGGTACAGGACGGAAAAGATAATATGTCAAATGACGGAATCATGGTAACATAATATGTTTTTATAATATATGACTGTTCTTTTGAGTTTTCTCTATCTGTATATCTAGTATATCTACCCCTACCTAATATTACTAATAATTATTTACATTAAAATGAAAAGTTGGGCGTACGTGTTAATGGTAACTGCTAACTAATTTATAGAAGATAAGAAGTGATACTCTCGTTTTTTGTTTGTTACTTACTGACTTACTATATAATTCCTTTTTTCTAAACTTGAGTCAATAACTAGAATTATTTAAAATAGGTAAGGTACTCATACTCGTTACTCGTTTTTTTCACGCGTTCTCCCTAAAATTTGCAAAAGTACTCATTTGCTTTGAGTATTATTCTTATAAGTACTCATACTCGGATACTTATGAGTACTTTGTAAAGCTACTCATTGTGAAGTACTCATGAGTACTTTAACGCTGTACTCTGCCCAGCTCTGTCTAAATCATTGTAATTCAGTGATGTAAAGTTAGATATGAGTGAGAAGAGTAAAATAAGTCCACATCCCGAACTCAGCATTAGGTTCTATACTCTGTGTAAAAACCAGGGGGAGCGATTTGAATTTAAGTTGGCAATTCTCTAGACTTCTGATTGGTAAGATTGCATTCAGTTTCACACATCACTTATTAGGCATTCCAACGACCTGTCCAAATGGCTACCATTCACATACTTTGATTTTCTCTTACTATACGGAGAATGGTCGCACTGCGCAGCTTTCTGAGTGCCTTTTAAAAGGAGATAGAAAACTCCGCCATTGTGATGCCTTATTACGTGTTGCCTACATCTTGGCGCAATATTTTTAATATTTTGCTTGCCGCTGTCAGTGTCAGTGAATATTATTTTTGTCACAGTTTATTGCTAAAGAATCGGTTAGCTCACTCGGACCAGTTGAAAGTTTCAAAATAACATCCACTCTAGGGATACAAATTCAGGATGCGCAGAAGACTGCTGTTTTATTATAGGCTGTTGTCATATATTGTATTATCCGAGTTGCGCAGTATATAAACTGGAACATTGAGATCAAAAGTGCCGACTCTGAGTGAGCGAACTGATTCTTTAGCTATAAACTGTGGTAAAGGCATCAAAATGGCCGCGCCCTATGTTGGGCGTATCGGACCTCTCTCGTGCACCGTATAGTATTCAAAGTATGTGCTACCAGTGGATTCTGACAGTTTCGATATGGCAACCCTGTGGACATGTTGTCATTAACAGGGTCAATGATACCTATATAGTTATATAGATTACTTAAGGGGTTAGGTGTAGTCAGAGACATGAAAAAATTACATTTTTAAATATTTTTTTTTGCCAGTAAATTATTTTATTTTATAAAAGTAAAAACATAGCATCATTAAATAAGGTTTCGACTTGACAGAAATTTTAGAAACAAAAAAAAAATAATAATTTTAAAAGTAATGGCTGTTTGTGTTGATCCAGTTCCAACCTTGCGGTGACCATCACTTATCCTTGGAGATTCATCTAACATCAATCGGACAAAAAAAATTATTTTTATTAATAGATAATCTAGTTCCTGATCGAAGGATTTTTTTTTAATTTTGATTTTTTATAAACAATTAACTTGTTTTTTTTTTTTTTTTTTTTCGAAAATCTGGAAAATATTTTCCTGAGGCCGCCATTTTGTTAATAAAAAAAAAAAACTTCGATCAGGCACTAGATTATCTATTAATAAAAATAATTTTTTATTGTCCGATTTATTTTAGATGAATCTCATCTCCAAGGATAAGTGATGGTCACCGCAAGGAGTTTCGGTTGGAACTGGATCAACACAAAATTACTTTAAAAATTATTTTTTTTTTTTTTCTAAAATTTCTGTCAATTCGAAACCTTATTTAATGATGATGATATGCTTTTACTTTTATAAAATAAAATAATTTACTGGCAAAAAAAAATATTTAAAATTGTAATTTTTTCATGTCTCTGACTACACCTACCCCCTTAAAGCGGGTCGTTTGCGAGCGGCCATATTGCCTGGCAAGTGTTTATCAATTAACAGTGTTGCCATATTATAACCTATCATATGCCTGTCATTTCAAACGGGCAGCCATTTTGTTTGGAATATCTAATTAGCATCAGCTGATAATTGACATTGTTGACAGTTCTGACATTTTATATTTTTAATTTTTTTATTGCTTTCGCCCCTTTGATATATCACCATTATTACTTAGTTTTCCATTTCAACTCTTTTTCTTTAAAAAACAGTTCCACTCAGAACTTCAGTAAGCAATTGTATTGAATTTCTGCGATTATGGATCCTTCTACACCGAGTACTAGTAAGAGTAGCAGTTCCTCGCATAGTCCACCAAAACAACGAAAACGGTTGAGTTTAGGCCATATTTAAGTGTCTCAGAAAAGCAGTACATAGTGGATATGTATAAAATAGATATTGTATAATAGATCAAAATTATTGATATATTTAAAATTTCTCAACAAGTCGGTGGCCATATTGAATTTTATTTGATAGTTCGATTTAGATCACAAAATGTCAAATTTACTACCGTTGTATGACATTTATTCGAGTCTTGACACCCATTGGCTCTTCGCCGACTAGGACCACTATTTCATAGATCCTGAACACGGACTATTTGGAAACACGTCCTTTAGGAAAAAATTACTAAAGTACTACTTAAAATATTAATTACTTTTAGTGGTGCGAGTAATGTAACGGCAAGGAAACATCCAATGGCACGAGATACATTCAACTGTATTACTTCAACTAGAACCTAAGTGCTGTATCCCCACTCCGAAACCGTGCAAATGTGGCGAATTTTAATTAACCTCATCTTTCTAATTGGTTTAATTGGGTTTAAAACCCCAAATTGGAAGGACTTTTCCTGCTCTGAACTCAACATTACAGAGTTATTGCAAATTTCTATAACGTCAGCCGCTAATAGTGACAACGTAACTAGAGGCAAATAAATTCCATGCTAAAATAAGGCTTATTGCAAACCTGAAATTTTGACATTAGAGTCCTTGTCCTTATACATATTTCTAACCTCATTTAAACAATTTTAAATTACAGTTCATCTTTTTTGTTATTTATAATAGTACATAATCTGGAAGAGGCATTAGTAATTACCATTTTAGAAGGTTCTAACGACAATGATATTAAATATTAAAAAACTAACTGCTGTCCTTAAACATCCACAATTAAGGACAGGCACAATCTTTATTAAAGTTAGTTCTAGAATGTAAGTGGTCTGCGCATGCTCATATGTCAAAATAAGAGCGGCACTAATAGTGACTGACCTTAAGTGAACTTGCAATAACTCTCTATTGACTCCTGCTCTGGACTCCACTCCAGTAAAAGCATAGCATCTTCACGATGGAATTTATTTAGCCACTTCCTCTTCTTCCATTTTTTCGGAATTGGCTGTAAGTGTTTGAAGCATAGACATTACTACTGCGACTCACTAATGTCCCTCCACTGTTATCAATAATTGTTGATCCCGATATATTTAAAACATGATTTAAATATATAAATAATTATGTTATCTGGTTTCAGAAATATTCGTTCAGGCAATTGTATGTGGCACACCCCGTATACAAATATGCTATATGTTTGTAATATATAAATATAAAATTATTTTAGATAAATTCTAAACATCTCGACCATATAGAAATTGTGTTAGAAGAATTTTTTAAAGACGTCTACGAATGGGAATTAAATAATTCGGTTGCTTCAAATACTTCAGTACTTTTTAACATTGGACATTCTAGTTTTATAAGAAGCAAAAGAGCGATGATGGAGTAAGTAATAATTTTAATAGCAAATAGAAAACAATACGTTATTAGAATTATAAATAATAATCCCTTAATTGAACCCCAGAAGCAGAATTTGCGTTTTAAGCTAATTATTATTATCCAAAAGTTTTTAATTTTCGTAACGATAATGAAATGAGAATATTCCTGCTTAAAATAAAAACTTGCCAAAAATCCACTAAGATGTCGATTGGAACAAAATCAATCTTATTTGCCGTTCAGTTTCTTTTTTAAATCCAGGGTAGGGTGGCTATGAAATATGAAAGTTAAACAATAGCGCACTCTATGAGTTCAGACATTGTATTATTGAGGCCCTTCCTACAAGGGCCTCAGTATTGCAGACAAAAAAATTTCTTACCCCCAATTTTTTATACTTTTTTTACGTTTCCGATCATTCTGAGTCCGAAAATGCAAAAAAAAAAATTTCGTCTGGTCGTCTGAGTGTATGGATGCCGGCACGATAACTCTAGAACGAAAGTTCTGATTAACTTGCGGTTTTGATTTTATTGAATAATTGCTTCTAACTTAGATCCCTATTAATTTTTAGAATTTTCGGTTCATCCCAACTACTTTAAAATCCGCCTGTGCATTTCAATGCAATTTATTTTACGCATCCCGATCATTCCTAACTTCTAACATTCCAAACATTCTTTAGAATTATATCTGTCATGCTCTGTCAATACAAATTAGCGCGGTGTTGCCAACAAGTGTCAAATTAAAATCAACAAAAAAGAAATATAAAAAATACCTTATTTTAGACATAACATTTCCATACCCTTTTAAAAGCGGGTCACACCCGATGATTTATTTATCCATTTTGATTGAATTGTTGTAGTACATAATTTTTAAATATTAATTTTACGTCATCTATAAAGTAATAAACAATGTACTTTTCGAAAACTTTGAAACATAATTACTTTGTATTATCCAAAAGTTTTTAAAATTTTTTAAATCAAGCGAATTTATTTGTTTGATAAATGACGCTAGCCAGCCAAGTTAAAAAAGTACTATCAACAAGAGGATAGCCGAATTAGTTCAATTTGTGCTGGGTTAACTGTGACGTCACTCGGTGGATATTTTTAAGGCATTTCCTTATAATCCTACCACAACATACTTGGTTACAGTATTGTGGTTACTGTGGTGACGTCACACATACCGTGGTAACCTTTTATTTAATGTTATATGTCAAATTTAATTTAAGTTTGGGGATTTCTAAACGGAATTTGAGGTCAAATTTCGTTTAGCAGTAATCAGTTACGTAAAAATTGTTGCCACAGTAACTAGTAAACGCAAACCCAAATCTCGTGGTGAGGAAATGCATAGTTGCCAAGTTATAGATCATTTAAAGTACACTTTATTTTAGACAAAATCAGTTATGGTGAAACTGTTGCTATGGGAACGCTTGACATAGTAATGACTAAATAAAAAACCAAATCCCGTGGTGAGGAAATGTGTGGTTGCCAAGTTACAGATGAGTTAATTTAGCTGTAATCAGTTACAGAGAAACTGTTGCCATATAGACACTTGTCATGGTAACGACTAAACAAAAACCCAATTCCAGTGGTAACGAAATGCATAGTTGCTAAGTTACAGGTCATGTAATTTTCACTTTAGTATAGCTGAAGTTGGTTACGGAGAAACCGTTGCCATAGGAACACTTGTCATGATGTCGACTAAACAAAAACCTACATCCGGTGGTGAGGAAATGCGCAGTGGCCTCTTATATTTTGATTAACTCTTAACGTAATATCTCAATCTAAACTAAAGTGGAAATGAAACCATCTATAAGTATAACTAGACATTTTCTCACTACGGGATTTGTTTAGTCGTTAGGATGACAAGCGTTTCCATGGCAACAGTTTCTCCATAAAATCACGCTACGCTCCTCCCACCCACCTCCAAACCAGTACAGAGGAGGGCGAGCGAAGCGAGCGCGCCTGGCCGACGTTTCGAAATTCGCGCAATTTGATTAATTTCATTTCATGAAAATTTGAATCAAAATTGTTTTGCAAACCTATCAGGAATCTAAATATTCGTATGTTACGTTACCTTTTGTACACTCTGTATATAAATTTCGACTTATACCTTCACATTTAAAATTTCTCAATATTTCTTAATTAAAAAAATGTTTAGATAGCATGGCCATAGTATTTAAATTTATTACCTACTATTTGCCTATTTATTTACTCTTATAATTTTTAAATGTGTTTAATTATCTCTCTGAGTCAAAATGATCTTTTGAATTTAAAAATATTTGAACGTCATAATTTAAAAAAAGGTGTATTGATGTACGTTTTGAATGGGATGACTTTTAATGTATTCACCGAGTGACTTCACAGTTAATCCAACACAAATTGAACTACTTCAGCTATGCTTTTGTTGATACTAGTCTTTTAATTTGGCTAGCTGGCGTCATTTTGTCAACCCAATAAATTCACTTGTTTTAAACTTTTGGATAATACAAAGTAATAATAAAATGATGTTTAAAAGTTTTCGAAAAGTACTTTAAATTCCTGTCGACATTTTCAATTCATATTTTCCGTTTTCGAGAAAAAAAGATAAAATAATTATTGTTTTATTTTTATTAAAAAATTAAACTCCCAGAATTAGCTAATTTCAAATTGGTAAATCCTGAACTCACTAAAGCTTGTAACGATTGAACCTAAATACGCTAATTATAAATAATCAATTAAAAACTTTATAAGTGGGTTCTACATGTGCTCTGTGAACTCTGATACACTTGCAGGCCCGACGAATAGAGGACTGCTGTACTCGCCACAACCCAGCATTGTTCCTTATCACATCACAATGAAATGTGATTATCTGTAAAAGTTCCTCCCTAGTATCAACCGGAGGGGAATACACCAAGGTTTTGAGATGACCCCACAGGTAAAAATTCATTGGCGTTAGGACGGGAGACTGTGGAGGCCATGCGTATTGCCGCCACGATTGAATGGTGAACTTTATTTACAGTTCCTTCAGAACGCTTTTCTGGATTCGATAGAGCATTTGCCACTTGAAACCCGCCGAAGCATGTATTTTATGCATGATGGACCCCCACCTCACTTTAGCATCGCTGTACGGGACCACCTGAATAACTGAATAACATCTATCGAAACCGTTGGATATGCCTATATTATTCATTTATTTATTTCGTAGGTACCATAGTAACGTTTGTAAAAACAGTGCGTTTTTTAATACTGATAACAGTTCTATTTTAATGACTTTCGTATCACACTTTGCTGCAGACAAAAAAAATTGAAAATCATGGTTTCTTTTTAATAAAAATAAAACATTTTTTTTTTCTCGAAAACGGTTCATTTTATCGACAATGAAGAAGATTACCTTTTCTTTAGCTTAATGTTCAAGGTGTCGAAATTTATTTTTTTTAACTCCTTATCATACAGGGTGTTAAAAATGTAAGCATTAAAATGTACAACCTAAACTAAACTAAATAAGGTAATTATGTTTTAAGGGCAGTATTTTAAGAGGTTCTTACTACTGTTTATCATATTAAATTATATTACGTAGTTTGAAAGTTATTCAAGAAAAATTGATTTCCAGTGGCGTCCTTTTGGAGGCCGTATCTCCGTAGGGGGTGCCGCTAGGAAAAAATGTATGGGAACTTATCTCATTTGTTAATGTTCTATCTGAATCCGAGAGACCTCCCGGAGACCCATTTTTTACCGTTTTCATAATAAAAAGTTTTTAAAAATATTTGGGGCTTTGTCTAAAATCAATAAAATAAAATTAAATAAAATTTAAAATAAAAGCCTTTATACGAGGGAAATTAAAAAAGCCCTCAAGAGTAAAGTGCTCTTATTTACACTTTGCTAATTGAATACACTCATATAAAGTCACAAAATACTTATTTAAAACGCGTATGAAAAGATTTGTGAAAAAATTGGTTAAGGATATATTTTTTTTTATGTATGCTGTTTTTTCTGTAAATAAAGTGTGAATTCGACAAAACTGGATATCGGTTAGTTATGCATTAGTTATGAATTCGACAAAATGGATATCGGTTAGTTATGCATTCAATATGTGCCCAGCAAATACAAACATGTAACATATATGTATCATTTATATATACTAGTTCCGTGTTACATTACAAAGTTACTTACATGTTACATAACAAAGTAACTTAAATGTTACATACTAACTCAAGTGATTACTGTGAAAAATGACCTAATATTATTATATAGTACATTCTTCATGGATGTAATGGGTTAAGTACATCTAATGAACAGTGTTACATATCCGAAGACATGTAACATTTATAATACCATTATAACATTTAATATGCTTCATTATTACCGCACATACTTTCCTTTTTTATAGAACATAAAGTATAATTTATAACCACCGTAACGTAACTTAACGTAATATATAGAAATAAAGTCTATTTATAAATGTCCGTAAGAGTTGAACATGCGTGTTGAATTTCATAGATCAAATTACTGTCAAACGAGTGTAAACTTTTACCTAACCTCCAAATAAAACCCATAATTTATGATTTTGCTATAGGACTAGAAAGAATATATTAACACTTTAAAAGCACTAATATAAAAATATAATAAAACGTAATAGTTTACCGAAAATGTTAATTGTTTTTGAGCAATAATGAAAATTTAATCTTTCCTAAGTAAACTAGTTTTGTCTTGTTTCAATTCATAAATATTTTATCCACAATAAAAAACAAAACATTCATGATAATGTATGTCCATAAAAAAGGAGAATGATAGTTTACAAATGGTATTTGTCCATTTATTTATAAAAAAATTAAAAGAAGAATTGGCAGTTATCACATGTTGAACTCAGAATTATCTCATTGGCTGACCGTAAGGTCTTAAGTTGTTAAGTTAAAAGTTGGCGAACTTTCTAAGGTACGTTAAGTTCGTAAGGTACGTTACGAACATTTATAAATAAGTATATGTAAATTCAATATTTCAACTTCTTATGTTAAGTTCTTAAGTTACGTTACGGCGGTTATAAATTAAGCTTTAGTCTTAAAAATATTACCTATACATAATTACGATGTTTTTAAAATGTTCTTGAGAAATCATTCCAGAAACGTTTCTTTAGAAACATTGTAAGGACGTACCATTTATGTCAGAAACATAAAAACATACATAGGACCTAAATGGAATGTTTCTGACAGATAAATGTTATTAGGGAATAATAAAAAAAGTTTTCCGTATGGTTCCAACTTAAGTAGACACTGTATGACAAATACAAAAAAACGGCGAAACTACGTATTTGGTGGAATAAAGAAAAGAAATTTATATGTATATGTTAGATATATCAATAATTTTATCGCACAAATTCATAACCGAAATCAAAAATGTATTTTCCTACGACCACTTAGGAAAGTGACACATATCACACTATATAGTCCTATGGAAAGTGCCCTATATCACACGCGTATGAATAAGAATTTACTTTCCACCCGTGTACGAATATGCTACTTTCCGCAGCAGCTGTCATAAAATGTCAAACACATCATTTCTATTTTGATCTATGTATTGTCCATATTAATACTAAAATCGATATGAGATTGTTAAATTATTGAAATTGTTGTTTTGACGTTCATTAACGTCATGGGCCATACACAATGAAAATCTAAAAATTTATTCTGGGGAATAGCTATTATATATACAGGGTGATTATAAATAAGGACACAAGTTAGGACCAAAAGAGAACAGAATATAGACCTCTATAGGATGTCAAGTACTGATGTCAAAGAAGTATATTACCGGGCCGCTGGCTGACGGTGTACCTATAAATTCATTTATCGATCAAGGTAGTCAAGCACTTCATGAATGGTTGACCCGAGACTTATAAGTTCTAGGAAGTGGAATAAATGCAGAATTAATAAATCGAAAGAAGTAGGGTATCCATATAGTGGTACAATTAGCCAGTGAAGCTACAACAATCAAGAGTAGTTTAAAAATAACTCTGAAAGGATGAAAAAAGACGTAAACTTTCATCGTAGTTCTATACAGGCTGTCCCATTGGTGCATAATTGCTTGATATTTCAATTTGTATTATAGACACATGTTTTGAATAAAAGTTATGTGAATTTGAAAAAAATATAATTTAAAAACATTTTTGGATAGACAAGGTTCATTTTCAGATATATTTTTAAATCAAATACCCTGTAGGTAGTTACGCCTTACAGATTTGGTTGTTTTCACATCGTTTTTTAATTTATTTTAATAGGCTAAACATACCTAAAAATGTTTAAAATTTTCATTTATTTGCTGTGATGCATAAAGGGTGTGTCTAAACTTGGGGTTCAATATTCTCAATTTTTTCAAATATATCCTGTTTATAAATTTATTTTTTGAATTGAATTGACATAATTATTTTGGCATTTTTTTAATTGGCTTTTGAAAAATAGACTTTTTAGGGTAAAATGCTCATTTAATTTTTGATAACCCATTTGTCAGTTTTTATTCATTAGACGTTACAAGTAATTATGAACCATTGTAAATAAAATTTAAAAATCAGTTCAGGCTCAAGAATGCCAAACAAAATAAAGAAACTAAATTATTAGTTAATTAATTTGTGGTGTAAGATACAGGGCATTTCATTTAAAAAAAAAATGATAATAAGAAAATAAGAAACGTTAAGTCTATTAAAATTGTTTGACGATGTGAAAACAAATAAATTTGTTATACATGGGGATTTTATTTTAAAACAGTACACGTTTTTCCACCAATCATTTATTAACTTTCCTGTATACTTAGAAATAATTTTAAAATATGTTCGTAAACTTTAAAATGTCTTCGTATCTTTAATAATAAAACAGCTATCGATCAATTACGCACTGATGAGAGACCCTGTATATGTATAATAGGCTAACATAATGGTATCGTTAGATAGGTAAATTTATAATGAATTTAGTGCTAAAATAATATGCAGGTTGTTGCATTCTAATTGAGTAAATTGAAGTTAAAATGAGCCATATTTATGAGATGTTTCAAAACCCTCTGTTCGTTAGTTTGGTATCTTATAAGTCTGTATTTTAAATAATGTTCAACTCATTGACAAGCTACTTAAATTCTGATCATTTTATTTAGGGTATGTATAATTTTATATCACAAAAAATTAATCGCTTAGCAACGCTGTAATACTTTTTAAAAATATCCTAGGGTTTAATACAGTATTCTCTAAGAATTCTAAAACTGAGATAAAATACAGTGTTCCATTTAACAAATAGATATTTTTACTTTCCAAGCAAAATCGTAACACACTGTATATCCAAAAATATTTTTATATTATGTTTTTCTAATCCATAAAACTTATTAAAGACTTGTTTTCGTGTCTATGCCACAAATTGAAATATCGAGCAATTAGGTACATCATTTAATTAGAACCTGTTAAAGCCTTGCTATGTTAAATTCACAAACATAATATTAAAACCAAATTCATAACGCACTAATTTAAGAACGTTTTTACATGCCTACGGGGTTATAAAGACAATTTACTGCATCATTCATAATAATAATAATAATAATAATAATAATAATAATCTTTAAACAAGTTTAAAAAATCTCTTAAACAGTTCATGCTGCGATTTTGTTTTTACTCTGTTAATGAATACATAGAACATTTTAGTTAAAGCACAGTACTTTCATTTGGTTTGAATTCATTATTTAAATTTACGACTTAAATTTTATTTAATTAATTGATACTATGATCTTGTTGAAACCGGCGTTGAGGAACATGGAGCATGCTCACTGCCGTTTTCTATTTTTATGGATGTAACTATTTTTTAAATGTTTTATTGATTTTACTTATTTTATTGATTTTGTAATAATTGATCATTGCTATTTCGTATTTGTATTTATTTTTTTTGTTATACATTTGCTGCCATATGGGTACATTCAGCTGTAGCTTTTTTGTTGTTTGTGACTTGCTATAAACATGTAATTTAAATGTAATGTTGTCAGATAAAATTTACTTTACTTATTTTCGTTTCAAGAGCTTCTACTAACATGCAAAGACTAATGGGAAATGTTCCCCTCGATCGGGACAATTATAGTAGTGGGAGCCCTACATACAAATTTTCGAGCTTTGACACTACCTCTTGGTTTAACATAACATAAAAATCTTGAATTCGTTCTCTATCTATACAATATTTATTTATTTTATTATTTTTTTTTTTTTTTTTTTCAGAAAGAATACCTTCCACAGAGGTATATCACCTGAAATAATATATTCTGAGACATTCGTCCCAAAAATGGAGACTGAACTGACCTATTTCACAGATACCCAAACACCTTCAACAAGTGATATCTCGTTTGTTTTTCTCGACACCTTAAAAAAGGAACTAGAAGCAGGAACTGTGGATCCTAAAATTAAAGTTCCTAGACTCACATATAGCTGCCTTTTTTGTCATATTACGTTTAATAATGATGTAGATATATTGCAGCATATAATATCGGAACATGATTCAGAACCAAATCTAGTTTGTCAGAAGTGTCAAAAGCCTTCTAATATGAATTCGTTAGCGAGAGTTAGGTGGAAACATGTTTGTGGTAAAAAGAATTAGTAGTTTAAGCTGAAGATTAAATAATTGTAGGAAAAAGAACTAATACTATTTTATTGTAAAATAGATTATTACTTAAGTAAAAAATACATAAATGGAGCTAACTGCTAAACCTGAGCCAATTTTAATAAATTATAACCATAAAAACAATAATTTTATTACATTATATCCTTAAAACCAAATGCTAAAATTTCCAAAATGTGAAATAATATGAATTGCATATGTCTGCTGAAGAAAGATATTTACCCAATTTGTAATGTTCCGAAAAACCCCTCTGGTTTATTTTGAGGAACTCTCACATAAAATTTGTTTATAATTGTAAAATAAATAAAAACACATTTCTTTAATTTTTAAATTAAAAATCGTGGTCGTAAATAAAATATAGTAAGACGAGTTGTCAACCCATTACGCACGAAAATGTGTACTTATAAGTCTTGTTATACCGGCTGTTCAAATTAAAGTGTTGCAGTTAAATACCGCCGAAAATATGCATTTTAGAAAAAAGTTTCAGACAAAAGTTTTATAGTTTTTTGGGGGAAACATTTTGGCTAAATTCATTTTTTTTATAGCTGATCATAATATGGCCATATCGAGGTGGGCTTTGTTTTTCTAAATGGGAACCCCATTTTTTTACATATTCTTAAAGTACATAAAAAAATAAGAAACTTTTGATGGAAATAATTTTTTTATTCGACTTTTACTTTTTGAGTAACAGCTACTTAAAAATTTTGCTGGGCGAAAAAAAGTTGGCCATATTATGGTTAGCTGAAAAAAACGATTTTAGCCAAAATTTTTTCCCCACAAAACTATAAAACTTTCGTCTGAAACGTTTTTTTTTATAATAGGCGGTATTTAGCTGTAACACTTTAATTTGAACACCCGGTATAATATACTAATAATAATTATCCATTGAAAATATGTTAGGATTTTTCTTGAAAATTAAAAGTTTGCAGAGCCACTAATTATGAGTTATCCATGTAAATGTGTGGGTTATGTTCTTACTTTCGATTTACTAAGAATGCTTACCTGTACACACACAGAAAGTAAGATGGCTGCTTGAAGTTCTAGTATGCTCTCTTGACATGGACTGTAACTGTAACCAGAGCTGTTGTAAGTACCGAGAAAAAGTATTTAAGTATTTACAATTTTTTTTAATACGAATCAAGTACAAATATAATGTGATGCGGAGCAAACCCTGTCTAAGCAAGCGACCTTCAGCCTGTCACTCGACTCATGGTCGAAACACCGCTCCGCATCTCGAATATACCAGAACAAGCGGTACGTGACGTAGCGCGTCTTCTCTGCGGACGGAGAGATTCGAATAAAGTGTTGGACAGAAAAGTTAAATTGTAATAAATTAGAATTGTGAGTTAGTGCCCAAGTTATTATACGTCATAAATAAATTGTAAATAGTGTTTTTTAAATAAATAAACTCTTAATAAATTAAAATATCGTCACATTGGTGTCAGAAGTGGGATTGTAAATAAATAGTGGACAATAATGGCTAAAAGACTGTGATTTAAAAGTGGCCGAGCTTCGTCGGTAGTTAGAAGATCGTGAGTTGGAGACGACAGGGAAGAAAGCAGAACTGGCAGAACGACTTGAAGAAGCAATATAAAATGAGGGTTTGGGTCCGGAAACGTATTTATTTTTGGATCATACATCTTCTGCTATAATTTCTTCAATTTCTTCCGATATAGAAAGTAAGATGATCTCTATGAAAACCGATATTTCTTGTAACATTTCTTCATTAGAAAATAAAGTTTCTTCCTTATAGGATAAAGTCTCTTCAGATATATCTTTAAAAGATGAAATTTCTTCCGACTTGGAAAGCAAAATGTCTTCTATGAAAAACGAAATTTCTTCTATGGAAGATAAGATTTCTTCCGTTGAGAATAAAATAATGTCTTCCGTTGAGGAGAAAATAAAAGAAATGGAAAAGAAGATAGAAGAACTGGAACATACAGAACCGGCCAAGGACGGTGAAATTAAATGCCATGCGGTGGAGTCATAGCTGAAATTGGAAGAAGCTATAAACTCTGCTCGTGTTAAAGCCCCAACTTTCGACGGAAAGATGTCATGTACCAACTACCTTAAACAGTTCGAAACAGCTGCCAGAACAAACGAATGGTCTGAACGAGAGAAGGCAGTAAATTTGACCATCGCCCTTCGAGGGATGTTCTTCAGACTATACCTGTGGAAGAGACAGATGATTTTGAGCAACTCAAAAAGAGACTAAATATGCGATATGGCCACGAACACTTGGAGCGTTTATACCAGTCACAGTTAAAGAATCGTAAACAGAAACGAGACGATACTCTTCGAGAATATGAAGTAGATATTGCCAGGTTGGTGCGATTTGCTTACCTATCAGCTCCGGAAAATATGATGGAATGTTTGGCAGTCCAAACATTTGTTGGTGGACTCCGTGACACGAGATGCAGAAAACATTTCGCTTAGACCACCACAAAACATTGGTCGATGTCTTGTCCGCTGCTTTAGAGTATGAGGCAGCTACGCATGCTTCTGGTCGATACAGTAAAGTCAGAACTGTAAAAGAGGAAGAAGGGGAAGATAAACTCGACCAATTGGTTAACATGATGAAGAGCCTTACTAATAAAAAGATGAAGACAAAGACCATCAGGTGCTGGAATTGCGGGGAACTGGGACATGTACGCAGTTCGTGCAAACGCCCTAGGGTCCCAACAAATGAAGATAACACGCCGCAGGAAAACTAGAGCCGGTCGGTCTAGAGGGGGCAGCTTTGACCCGAAACCGTTCCAAAGACCCTCTCATAATGATAGCCTCTTTTAAATGTCGCGATGATAGTGTATACGTAGACGGCGAAGTAAATGGTAAAAAGTATACATTGTTGGTGGATACTCGAGCAACTAGGACCATTATACGACCAGCAACCATAAATAACCGTAAGAGGCTTCTACCAACAAGATTGAGATTACGAACTGCCACAGGTGAAAGTGCCAACATCCATGGGGAAATCCAGGTTCAATTGGGAATTGGCACAGATAAGTTCACTCATACTGTTATTGTCGCTGATATCGAAGAAGATGTTATTCTTGGAATGGATGTAATGAACTTACATGGTTTCCAGTTAGACTTTAAGAACAGAGTGATCAAAGTTGGTGCCGAAGAGGTATTCTATTCCTACATCGATTTGGGGACAGTACCGTGCCAGTTGCTGTACAGGAGGATACGGTGGTACCTGGCAGAAGTGAAACCGTTTTAGTAGCATGGCTTCAAGAAACTATGGAAGAAGACAATTTTGGAAATCACTGAAAACATATAGAGTCTTGCCTGTTAAAGAATACTCCATTCCTGATCGTCTTAATAACCCTGTTGACATTAATAACTATCTGAAAATTTTATCTTATTTTATAATAATAATAGAATAGATTCTAAATTCAATTTTACTGAAATAAACGATTTATTTGTTTCGCGAGCTATTGCAGAGATAAAGACTAATGCTACGGGGGGTGATGGAATAAGTATAAGACTAATTCTATATTGTCTACATATTGTTCAATATATTACGCATATTATTAATTTTTGCCTAACTAATAATATTTTTCCGCGTTCATGGAGGAGAGCGGTGGTGAAGGTGTTGCCAAAAAAATCAGATCCTCGAGAGTATAAAGATCTTCGACCTATTAGCATGTTGCCAACATTATCTAAAATCTTAGAGAAAGCTATAGAAGTGCAACTTAGGAAACATATTGACGCCTACTCTTTGTTACCTGTAACTCAATCAGGTTTTCGTAAAGGCTATAGCTGCACAACTGCTTTACTCCATGTGGTGGATGATATTATTAAATCTCTGGATAAGGGTCATTGCACAGTTTTGGTCCTACTAGATTTTAGTAGGGCATTTGACACTCTTAACTATAAATTAATGTCATCTATTCTAAGTTATTTAGGTCTTTCCCAGAATGCAGTGTCTCTTTTAAATTCGTACCTTACAAATCGACAACAGCTAGTTACGATCAATGGTCAGTATTCTCCTTACTTATATCTCCAATGTGGTGTACCTCAGTGTTCTATTTTGGGTCCCTTACTCTTTGCTCTGTATACATCCAATATTTTAAAATGCCTTTAAAGCTGTAATGCTCACTTTAATATCGTTCCATCCATACAATTTGTATAAATGGAACGATATTTTCAGAAGTGGTGTAGCTCAGTGCTACACTTTCGATGCAAAGGAAAAGACCTATTATGTATGTGCAATTTATAATAATGTTCCAAATTCACTAAAATCTGTCAGTCATGAAAAATTCAAGAAATCATATAGAAATGTGTTATATGCTGCATAGTTGTAAATGCTCAGATAGTGTTTAATAGGTATATCTCATGTCTTTCTAATTTCTTTTTTTTTATTTTTCTTTTCTGTGTTTTAACGGTTCAAGCGATATATTTATAAATATAACGGGGTCTATTCTGTAACAATTCTTTTATATTTAACGGCCTTTAAAAATATTTTCTTCTTTACTTATGTCATTATTTAAACGGATCTTTAAAATACATTAGATGACTATCTAAAAGAAATCTGTTTAAATAATGACAGAAGTAAATTAACGAATACGAAAATATTTTAAAGGCCGTTAAATATAAAGGAATTGTTACAGAATAGACCCCAATATAATTGTATTTTTTTTATTGTTTTGGGTTAAGTGGAAGAGCAATTCAGTGGCGAGTTTCATCACATGAATTGAACTTTGCCCTTTATTTCTCATTTTGCATAAAATGTAGCGAATTGATATGTAATTTTGTAAATATTCTGTATATTCAAAATGAAAATAATAAAGACATTTATTATTATTATGTTTCAAAACCATTTGAAACATCAAAGACTTCTGCTCCCGAATCCAGATCATATAAAGAATATAAGCGTACAACAGTTTATTAAGAGTTTTAAATAATTTGTTTTATTTTAAATAAGTAACACATTTTTAATAAAAATATACAAAATTGTATTTTTTTAATAAATAAAAAAATGTCTCAATAAAAAATTTATGAAACATATTACTTAATCATTTTTATATATTTGAACCATATTTTTTTCGATATTTTTGTCAGATTTGAATTCTTGGCCACATAAGGTGCTATAAAATATTTAAATTATGAGGATGTTACAAAAAAAACCAAATAATTTTTTTTTTAGTTTTGGCGATTATATGTGCAATAATTTGTCAAATATTAAGGAAGTGAAATGTTAAAAAATTAAATGTATTATTTATTAACATAATTTTTTTCCTACAGTTAATATCTTTTTATTTCTCATGTTTTATCAAAAGTAAAATAATAATATTATCTAAATTGAGGCAAAAAATGCTAATCACCGAGTTAATAAATCCCAGAACAATTGTTTATTTTCCTAAAAATTTAAGAACCTTTTACTAACTAGAGAAACCTTTAGAAATACTTAGTTATTCTCATATATTTTTAGGCCATTGCCTGGATATACTGTTATTCTCTCAGTATGCCAGGTATTCTCGGGAAGACTCCAGGTATTTTTTATGTTAGGAGTTCTTGTGTACACTTTTTGTGGATGTTTACCCCTCGCAAATTACTCCTAACTTATATGCTTTCACTATTATAGATATGAAACGTGTTCATTAAATTTATCGAAAAAAAAAAAAAACAGATTTGAAACACTTATTTACTTTCAGAAATTTTATTTTAGATGTACCTACATCAAAATGTGCAAATTAATTTAATAAATAAAGCCTGACCTGACCATAATGTACCAGTGCTACTACTCAGCTGTGACAGCCCTTTACTGTGCAGAAGTATCAACCCAGCAGTGACGTTATGCACGAAATGAAAACGGAGAACTTTTAGAACTTGGGAATAGCGTTCCATTGTAACGGTTACAAGTCGGTGACTTTTCTAGTTAATAAAACTATACGAGGGTCACAAGTATTATTTGCTTTAAAAAGTTTCTAGTCCACATTTTTTGTTGATAGGTTAGTAATTCAGAACTATAGTAAGACAAGTATACTGCTTAAGGAATAGTAGAGAATAAATATCGAGAATAATTGTAATAAATATTTTTTTTATTAGTAACTATATATATTTACAAAATTTGTTTAAAATACATTTTATATTATTTATAACAGAATAAAAATATCACTACAATATATTTATCATTACCTAATGACTATTTTGTTTTCAGTATTTGTTATAACACCTTGAGCAACTTGATTGGGAGTTGTAGAATATAGTTTTATTGGTAAACTCCATACCATGGTCTCCACTGTAACCTCTGAAGGTGCCTGCCATTCGGTTTGTTGTAGAGGGGGTAAAATCAAATCTTTGTTTGTACTTGTCACAAATTCAAAATGAAGTCTCCAACTCAAACCAACTAGAAAACAAAGTTTGAAACTATTTAAAAAATTACCCATTTGAAAACAAACTATCGCTGTTTTTTGCAACATATTTTTAGGAAGTCCTTAGAAATTTAGGAATATTTAAACAACTTAACATATAAAAATAGATATGAAACAAAAAACTTTACCTAATTTAGTACTAAATTCAGGCGTAACATACAGTGGTATTGGCAAAATCAATTGTGTATAATCATAGCCCAAACAAACATCATGAAAATTTCCAAAAGTCATTATTCTAGTTTGTTCATTACTATCTCCACCTTCTAAAGTAGTTTTTTCTTCACACTGAAGAGATACAGAGACTTGTATACAGCTCACAGTAGCTACAGTAAAATCAAAAGTGCCAATGATATCTTCACCTAGTTTATAGGCTGGTTTAAATAGACAAAATCGTACTACTTTTCCTCTAGTGTTTGTTATCATATAATAATTGGGATTTCTTCTTGCTGTTATATTCTGAAATTTAATAGGCATACTTAGATATTTATAGAATACAAATAACATTAGGTACTCTGAATCAACTTTTAAAACATTTTTAAATCTACGTGATATCTTGCGATTCATATTTAGATATTGGAATCTGAAATTAAGATTAAGCACCAACTGTTATTGATGTTGGAACTACTTCAAATCAATCATGTAGCAATTTTGTGAATGTTTATTTTTTAAAAACACATAAGAAAATATAGAATAGACTATTATTTATCTTTTATAAATTTTCTTTTATATTGTGCTTTTTAGAAGAAAAATAAAATCATCTTTTCCAGAATTATATTATTTTAATTTTAAAGTTAAGGTTATATTTTCACTTAGTAAGTAGATACCCTTTAAGGGAGGGGTAGAATTCAAATACAACCTCTTGTGGCACAAATTCGCACACTTCCAAGGAGTAAACAAATTTTGTTTATATTATGTCATATGGGTTGAATGTGTTAAATTTGTTTTGTTGCATTTAAAAAGTTAAATTTCGGTGAATATCTTATTATTTTTTAGGTAGGCATTTTTATTAACTTATGTTAATTTCTTTTTGATATCTTTTGATTTTAATATCATAATCAAGAACATTTTAACATATCTAATCAACAATTGAAAAAAAAGTAAATGTTAATAAAATCAAACCTAAAAAAAACTATTATGATATGAAATCCATATTTAAAACAAGCTAGAACAAGTAGAAAAACATACACATATAAGAATAGTAGTTAAGGTGAAAACTTGAAGGGCAAAATAAATTAACCTTCATAGGACTGGTAAACATTTTTCTTCCATATAGCTACAGTTTATGTGTTATTCTTATAAAATATATGTATTATTGTTTAAGAGTTATTGCTCCGATGACAATAGCAGGAAATTTGTATTAAAAATAGGCATTCTGTTTTAATCCTAGAAGACACAGTTTTAAAGATAATACCATATATTTTCTTATGTGCAAATCCCAAAAAATTATAAATGTTTATTAATTTTGTTTAAAAAAGGACAACTTTTAATAGAGAATTAACATTATCAAACATGCATTATTTTTCGAACGATTAATGTCAACTTGTAGTAAATCATTTTCTTAATAAGATCAAAAAATAATTTTTAAAATTGGACCTAATATAAAGCCGTAATCATTAAAATAGCAAAGTAATTTCGGATATAAAAATGATTGAAAAATATGATTACGATATCCCCTCTCAAGACGTTCCGTGTTCATACCGAAGGATGGGTGCTGTTGCCTTCCTCGTCTACCTAGTATTGAAATCTGGCCAGATACGGAATAAGGGTACATATAGGATCGAACTTAAATTTAGTGTTGCTCGGTTGGTGCGAAGAGGGAAATTTTATTACACGAGATAATTTTGTTTTCAATATAGAATTTGCAATGTTTCAATATATTTAAAACATAGTTTGATTAGAAAAAAATTAGGTAGAAGAATTATATTTGTATAGTAGGTATATATTATATTTTCTAAAATAATTCATTTTGCAAAGAATATCAACTAAGCTACTAATATAATAAAATCTATAAATCAGCCTTATAAATAATGTATTTAACAAATGTTTCATATTATATTAATAATTTACATGTTTTATTATTTATCTGTGAATGAAACGTGGAGAAAATAGTTTTACTTACAAGTTTTTCCTGATTTTGTTGCTGTCTGTTGTTGTAGTGATCTGATAATTTGTAGACTGTATAATTGTTTACAGAAAGATTTTTTCTTGGATGCCCTCTTTTCAGCATAGAATAAATAAAGCAAGCAGATGACTTAATATTTTATTTTGTACAAATATATAAAATATATTAATTTACACCATTTAACGTATAATAGTATTTTGCAATTTTTACAATACTTACGAATGCCTCTTATTCGTAATTTATGCTATTGGTTTAAGATAATGAAATTCCGAATTATTTCGGTCTATATATATTGACTGAAACTCAAAAAGATATTCTTATAGAAATAATATTTTAAAAACTGAGGGAACAGAGCCGAAGTGTTTTGTTACTATCCGGCTTTAATTGGTCCGAATCTCATGATGGCTGCCGTTGAATGATGTTATCATATTTTGTTGTCGCTAACTTTAAGATATAAATACATATTTTCTCTGTTTGATGTCAATGATTTTAAAAAGAGTTTTTGCTTTTAAAATAAGTGAATATTATAGAAGGACAAACAAACGTCAAAATTGGCGTAATATATTATGAACAGGGGCGGTTTCTCCATTGGTTCATTTGTGCAGTGAACACCCAGTTAAATTTCATAAAAACACATTATTTTAATATTACATAAATAACAAAAATATAAATTTAATTTTAATATTTTTATTTTCATATGTGTTAATCTATATTTTTTGTACATCATTGTCCTCTGGCTGATCGCGTCTCTGTGTCACAGTATACCTAAATATACTGTGTCTGTAGCGCATTCAGTGTTGTTCCTGGTTGTACAATTGTACAAAAAGTTGTACAATCAGTTATGCGGTTGTACTGTTGTACGCACTTTTGAAAAAAGACAGAAATGTTGTACAATTTGAAATTGCTAAATATTTATGTAAAATCGGGTATATAAAAGGTTTTCTTCGCTCAAAAAGTCTACGATTTGTTAAATAGCATGCATTAAAATTAATAAAAAAATAAAAGTTTAAATTTGGCGCCATTCGCGACCAATCAGTACACCGTTTTACATCAAAAATATATTTTAAACTGGAAAAATGAAGAATTTTAAGCATGGGAAAGTAGTAGGCCATAGTCTGTCAGTAAAAAAGAAGAAGATTAATTAGTGGTTGTACAATCGAAAGTAAAAGTGTACAATTTTGACACTGAAAGTTGTACAATTCAAAAATCCCTAGGAACAACACTGAGCGCATTATGATGAGTGAGCCTAACACGAGTGAGACGATATGCTGAATGCATCTAGGTAAAAAGACAACACGCCAACAGATCCTACAAACTGTCAAAGAACACATTAATTGGCGCGCCGCTCACAAACAATTTTTAGCAAACATCAATTTCTAAAAGGAGAAGAAGCCCTTTCATTATAAAAAAAAAAATCTGATTAAATATGGGGAATTTAAGAGGGGTTGAAATTAAAAAAAAAAATCAAAAACGAAAAGCGACATCAACATGAAAGTTTTAGTAAAAATTAAGGTCTATAAGGAGACGAGGCCTATTGATTGTGAAAACAATTTGCTTAAAAATGGGGGTTAAGGGGGTATGTTAAACTGCGAAGAGTATCATTTAAAATGCCAGGCATTATATATATATATATATATATATATATATATATATATATACTCGACCAGCGTATCATGTGACATCCAGCAAAAATTTTGACTTTGTGACATCCACCCTTTACAAAGACTTTAGGAAAAAAATAAAAATATGACTTCTTTTAATTTAAAAAATATTATCACTGAGCGAAAAATATCACAACCATACACATTTAAAAAAAATAAAACGTCCTATCGTTGTGAGATCCAAAGTATACACGGTATATATTTTTATTAACAACACTTTGTGACATCCAGAAAAACCTTGCATCTTGTGACATCCAGTTGTTACGTCACAGTATACCATTTCTACAGAAAAACTGCCATTCTTATAACATCCAGCAAGTATATAGATACATTTTTAAATTAAGTATCTTATTACATCCTAAAAACTTAACACGTTTAACGCCAAAGCACACCCTCAAATTCTATGATTTTTATTGTTTTTTATTCCAATGTGATTTCTTTAATGGTTTTGATAAAATAATTTATTTCATTTTTAAATAATTACTGAGGCCCTTCCTATGGGGCCTCAGTATTGCATTCGTGCAGACGAAAACATTTTCTTACCCCCATTTTTAAAACTTTTTTTTATGTTTCCGATCATTCTGACTCCGAAAATTTTTCGTCTGGTCGTCTGTGTGTATGTATGCCGGCACAATAACTCTAGAACGAAAGTCCTAATTGACTTGCGGTTTTTATCTTCTTGAATAATTCCTTCTAACTTCGAACCCTATTGATTTTCAGAATTTTCGGTTCATTCTAACTACTTTAATATCAATTTTCTTAAAATCCGCTTATGCATTTCTTATGTGACAATTTTAGGAATTCCAATTATTTCTAACGTCAACATCCCTAACATTCTTTACATTCCATAAATTGCAAACATTCTCTAACGACCTGTCAAACAACAGCTGTTGATAGTAAAAGTGAAATTTCTAAGGCGGGTTGCGACCTTCATATTTGCAACTATAGCCATTTTGGAGGCTAATTTTATTCAAAATTAGTCGCCAAGCCTGCCAATTATGAAAAATATATAAGCAGTTTCTTAAAAATTACTTTTTTATGGTGGTGCTAACTTAAGCGTACTACTATTTCGCCCCAGCCACAAAAACACATTCATCAAATTTATTGGCAACCCCAAGAATTAACCGGCCATTTTATTTGGCAAAAATCAGAATAATGCTTGGCTGTGCCTGTCAGGTATCAAGATGTCAACTGTTATGTGGGAATGGCTCTTAAATGTAAAATTATTTAAAAATGTATGCTTATTTTGATATTTATTGCAAATAATTTGTAGTGTATCTCAATTAAGGCTTTTCATAAATAAATGTGCAGCAAGACAGATATTATAATGTTCTTATACAAAGCACTTTTTTATTATATGAAAGAGAGGTAGGATAGAATAATGGTTTGCATATTCAACCAGCGAATTGTAAATAATAATTAGTAAACTTCTTGAGGTTACTTTTGAATCCATTTATTGTTGTTTTTTTTTTTTAATTTCTGTAGGCAGTCAATTACATTTTTTAAACCTTTAATAAAAATTATATTTTGGGAACTTTTAATGATGGCTTGCCGTACATGAAAGTCAGATTGGCTTCTTGTATTATAGTTGTGATATTGCGAATTATATTGAATTTTTTCTAAAAGATCTGATGCGATGGTACTATGTCATTTTTATTTTATAAATAAATATC